CTTTTTATGAAGAGGATAAGGGTAAGTTCTAGGGCATTTTAGACTCTTACATAACATTGATTTGTCATTTAAATTTCTTGAACAGCTATTGATATATTAGGATCAGCAATATATGCACAACATTTTGTTTTTATAACTGCTCAAGTACCTCCTGTACTTCTGTTAGAATGTCTAATGCCATCTGATTTGAAGAGGGCCTATTTTATTAATTTTACTTTTTATTTAGAAGAGACCAGCTTTGGTGTCACTGAAAACCATTGAGTATAGTTAAGGCCTTGGTATGTTTCATACAATATTTTTTTCTAGACAATATCTGGTGGATCCCAGGAACAAAATATAAAAGGAATGTCAAAACAAAAACAGAAGAGTCGCTACTAGTCCAACCTATGTAGTAATACCCTGAATACCCCATAGACCCTGCCCTAAATACAGAATAAATAAATGTAATCTAGCATATTTTTTGCAGGTTTTGCCTGTAATGATTACCTGGGTTTTGGCATCCTCTAGACAAAAAAATTTTCTGAGAAATTAGAGCTGACACATAAGTTTAAAGGATAGCAACTGTAACCCACCAGCTCTGAGACCTCTTTACTGAGGGAATCGTGACGTTTTGTCTTAAGTCTCTCCAGTTTTAATTTTTCTGGATTTTTGATGACTTATGGAAACTAATACCTTATTTTTAAACTGTCAATGATATTCAAATAAGTATAGTGTGGCTGATTTTTTTGGTTACACCTTATAAGAAAACAGTGATATTAGTATTTTATTTTGGTGTATTTGATTCAAACGTTGAAAAAGAATTTGTCAAGGTAGACAAAAAAATCGTTTTAAAGAACATAAATCATGGGCTGGAGAGATGGCTCAGTGGTCTAAAGCACCTACTTGAATCAAGCTTGGCGAAGCACAGGGACCACGGTTCGATCCCCAGCACCACATGCCAGCCAGCCCCGCCCCCTGGTGGGCTGAGCTGGCCACACACACACACAATAAATAAATGTAATA